CTTTTTCCGTTCCCGTATCCGCCTGATGGTCCACCTCTCGCAACGTTAGCGTAGGTTCCCTTAACCTGCGTAGTCATCTACTCTCGCTGGAGAGCAAGGTCGCGAAACTGGCGATAATTATACTTTCCAAACTTTGACTCTGCCACAAGTTGTCCGTGTATGTGCTCTGGCAGTGCACGCGAATATATGTACAACGCTTGGTTGTCTTGGAGGTTCAGTCCAAGTACCTGCAAAAGTCGATCAACTTCACGTGACAGAGCATCGACAGTAAACCAACGTTTCTGGCTAATCGTGGTGAGTTCGTTAAAAGCCTTGTCAACCGTTGTCTTGTCAAGGAATCTCTCCTAATTTTCTAAAGAAATCCCCGCAGGGTCATGGTTTTTGCCCACTCACCGATGTCTTCGAAGCCAGCAGCACTAGCCTCAAACAGGACCCACTCCTTGGCAACTTCTTGCAAACATGAGGTGGAGAAGACAACTTGACTCTCTGGTTGTACAAGAGCGGTACCACAATAGGTTTGGATTTCGGCAATCCAAAGGAGTAGGTGATCACCTCTTTTGCCGTTGTAGGTGAACGACAACTTCATCTTCAACTTTTCCTTTCTCTTTGGTATTTTCCCTTCTTCCTTCTTCGGGCTCCTTTTCTTGGTGGGTTCGGGTTATTTTGGTTCTTTGGTTTTCAAGGCGTCTTTCATCAGTTTCTCTTGAGGCTCTTCCTTTCCTTTCTTCTCCTCGACTACCTGTTCATGCACAACTTTGTTCTTTCCTTTTTTTTTTTTTTTCTTTTTTTTTTCAAACAGAACCTTACGGTTCTGGCTCCTTTTCCATTCTGGGAAGCGTCAGTCCGGTTCCTATTCCACCGGCAAGTCATAAATGATTACAAAGGATACTCACTCACGCTCCTCCCCCTCACGGCGGGAAGGCCCAAAAGACGGCATTGATTGCTTCCCAGGGAAGGATGTACCGCTCTTCACCCCTGCCTAAGTTAGCCTGCTTGACTTACTCTTGGGCTTGGAAGACCTCTCCGGTTTGTGGACCTGTCTTGTGATTGCTGAGGGACTTGCTGTATGGGCTGGCTCTAGCTTTTTCTTTCAGCTACAAGGCTGTTGGATCTGTTTGTAATGCTGTTTGAGCTAATACAGCCTACTTCTGCGCCCTTGTCTAGTGCTCTACTCATTACCTTTCTGTGCACAGTAGTGCTCTTTATACTTTGACTGTGATTTGGGCTTCTAATTTTGATAAAGTACTTATCCTTCCAACGCTACACCTGAACCCTCGTCCCTTGTATAGTTATGGTGGGGGTGTGTTGTCGGGGGAAGGATGATAGGAGGAGGGAGAAGCTTATTAGGTGAGGAACAGACGAGCGGGGGTGGTATAAATTTTGGGAGGGGTAGGAGGTGAAGGTGTGAAGGATGCTGGAGGGCCTGCAAGGCTGCAGTTTTTCTGTGGACGTGGGGTTGAGTGAGGGATGGCGGGGGGGGACTGTGGGGGGGGGGAACTGGTTTATAAGGTGTGATGTGTGGTGATGGAGTTGGGATGAGTGTGTAGATTTGACTGTGACGAGGGGTGTATAATTGGATGGGGGTGAGGTGGAGGCGTGGTCAGTGTTGTTGGTAGTGATAGCCAGTTATTGAGGGCTAGGGAGTCGTTTTTAATTTCTCCTAAACGGCCCGATCCTAGTTTTGTAGATGAGAATTTATGTATTAATTCGTTTTTTTTATCTGGGGTTTCGCCTATTTGTTTTAGAGTTTTGGTCCAGAGAATATGCAACTCCGTATCTATTGTATGCTTTATTGCATTGAGTGGGTTCTTGGGCGTGGTAGTACTATCGCCAAAGGTTAGTTCACACCTTCTTTTCCATAAGCCCCAGATGATTCCTTTCCTGATAAGAGTGAAGAAGAAGGCCTCGAAGCCTTTGAGGGGCGGGTTCTGATCCGCTTCGAGAAAAATTGTGGCGGGGCTTATCAGGACGGGCTTCTCGGAAAGGGATTTCCATATGTTTTCCATCTCTAACCATATAATTCTAGCTTTTGGACAATCAATGAAGCAGTGGTTAAGTGTTTCCGTTCTCTGCTGATTGCATACCTTGCACCATGAGTCTTGCTCTGTTCGATTTGTCTTATTACGCCTTTGTGCTAACCAGTGGTTGACTGGTACTGCCCTGTATGCAATTAACCAAAGAAGACTGGCTAATCTGACCGGTTTAGTGCAGAATATTGATGACCATGGTATGGTTATTTGTGTGTTTGTTATAGTAGGTTCTTCTTTTGTCCATCTTTTTTGCAGGATATTGGTTATTGAGATGGGTTTAGAAAGAAGGTTGTAGCCTAGTCTGGGGGTGTAGTCAGTTATTTTGTGGAGCCGTGATATAGTGGCTCCACGGATGGGGGTGCTCCAGGACCATTCTGACGGGTCTATTTCTAATTCCTGTATACTTGACTGTGGTTTGAAAACCTTGTTTATATCCCCTTCAATAATTCTTATTCTTCGCAGTGTGCATGTTTTTAAGGAGCCTTCTGCTCTGCTCTCTTCGTTAAGGTAGCTTCGTGGGTTCCCTGGTTCCTCGAGAGGAATAATGTCACAGCAGATCCAGTCTTTATTCTGATTTTCGTAGTTTTTGAATCTGAGCACTTCCTGTACTTCTCCCGAGTCTCTTATGGAGGCCCAGTCGCCGTATTGCCATCTCTGTTCCAATCGCAGTAGGAGTTTCCATTGCAGCGGGATGCTTTCTATGATTTGTTTAATGTTCGTTTGCAGGTGGTGAAGGCCCTTCAGGGTAGGTCCGAGTTCCTTCTCGGATTTCCATTCCTTTGCTTCCTCGTTCCAAATATGTTGGATCTGCCATACCCCTCTTTCTACCCAATGCCCACATTTTGCATCTGATTTGGGGAGTGAGAAGCTTGCTCCTTCCTCGTTTTTGATCCATGCGTTGCCGAAGAGGGGTTGTCTTAAGACTTCGTCTTTTCTTTTGGGCCCCGATTTGTTTTCTGGAAATATGATTCTCCAGCTGCGTAGGATCTGGACCCAATGAGATTTTGAAGGTGCCGGGTCGTGGTTGTCTACCTGCAATGAAGTGCGGGTGTGCTTTCTTTTGTCTGTGGGGAGTGTCCAATGTTTGTTGAAGATCCAGAAGAGGCCTGACATGTTCCTGGGAGATTTGAAAGGGGCCGTTTCCCTTATGTGATTTAGTGCTAGGGGTGCCCACTGGAGGTTATCTTGGAGGGATATTCTAAGGATCCATTTGATTTTGAGGGCTTGGATTTGACGGGATGGGTCAATGAGACCAAGGCCACCCTTGGCTTTGGGTTCGGTGATCGTTTGCCAGGCTACCTTATGAATGAAGTGGTCGTTATCCAGATTGCCTGTCCACAGGAAGGCTGTTGCTTTTTTCCTAATTTGGCTTTGGAAGTCCTCAGGGGAACCAAATCGAGGTGTGATACCACATCATAGCTAGAATAGAGTTGTTCAGTGCTAGTTCTTTTCCTAGTAATGATCTGTGGATTCCTTTCCAAGCATGCATTCTGTTAATCATGGAAGATAATAGGGATGCTGCTGATGCATTGTGGCAACCTTTCATGTTGAGGTTAATCCATAGGAAGCGGAAGCGAGCTGATGGGTCCGCCCAGAGCATTCCTTCGGGTGTGAGTTCAATCGGTGGTGGGGAATCTGCCAGCCACCAGCCTATTGTTTTTTCAAATTTACTTTCATTTTACTAATTTTGTCACCGTCTGGAATTCTGCGGTGACGTTGTCAATTTTGATTTCTGGATGTGCAAGGTAAGCCATCATGTTCTGCAAGACAAACACCAAGTCAGTTTCTAAATCCTCAATATGAAGTTTATGTTTTCTCCTCAACTTTTCTTGCCTGTTATTCTTTTTCTTGTTTCTCTCTCATAGGCTTCTTTCCTTTTGATTGTGTCATCCATGATTTATTCGGTTAGTTATGGTTCTTCCTTTTTCTCATACGCTTCTCCTCTTTCTACTTTGGTTTCTACTTGAGCTATCTCCACCAGCTGCTCGGCGACAAAATGATCAAGGGCCATTCGTCCCTGATCAATCACTTGCTGCACTCTGTCACTGGTCTCCAGCATCTGAACAGCAGTTTCAGCCCTTGTAAGTTCGTCTTCTGCCGCACGCAGATCGAACTGGGCGAACATGCTGCTCAACTTCTGGCCCGGCGTCGTGCATTTCTGCGAGCAACGTGCGAAGACGGGCCAGCATCTGCTGCCGTCTATCATCAATTTGGCCACGTGTTCTCATCACTGCCTCTTCTTGATCAGCGAAGAGAGTAATGGAGATGGGAGAAAAAACGTATGGGATGAACCGGGTCAAAATGGATGCACACAAACAATTCCAAAAGAAAGCCGTCATACTTGGTGAGTTTGTTGCACAATCAACTTAAAAAGACAATAGAAAATTCCACAGCCTCACTTCAGTTCCTTTTCAATATCCCTACGGCAAGGAATAATAAGCATTAATAAATAAGGATTCAGGATTTCAATTAGTTCTACTTCTAATTCTGCTGATTAGAGTTTGTGCACAGGTTCCACAGCCATGACCAGTGTGATCAAGACAACAGCACAATGGTGAGTTTGCAAAACATCCACAAGACAGCCAGCCAATTACAAGTGAGTATCAACAACAGATCAAAACATAAAAATCAACAATGGTTAGCTGATCTCCTTCTTGCTGTCCTCACGCAGATGTCTGTATGACCAGGCACAAGTTCTGACGCGTGGCATTACAACATAATCTAGTGTCGTACCGCCCGTCAGTCACACGAGTGCAAGTAACTGTTCCCACTAGTCTTCAGCGAATGGCAGCGCAGATCAAGTCTGCCATGTGTCACTCTCTAAGCAAGCCAAGGTGACACGTCATCCAGAGAGGTGCCTCGTCAGCATCAATGGCCAAGTAGGTCGTCGTGAATGGAGATACTTTGTTGCCACGTAAGCAGCAAGAGGCTGCCAATCCCTATGTGATCGCTTGGATGCCAATCTTCAAGGTGTCGCCTCAACCCGGTGCAATGCTGCTTCGTTGGAGATGCCAAGTTTGCAGGTAGGTCGTGACACAGGTAAGTGCCACGTCAGATCCTATGACCTGCTGCTTCGTCTTAGGTGCCACATCAGCACCAAATCATCATGCCACGTCAGCGGCGTTTCCACAATACCAGGTAAGCAACTCTCTCTCTCTCTCTCTCTCTCTCTCTCTCTCTCTCTCTCTCTCTCTCTCTCTCTCTCTCTCTCTCTCTCTCTCGGGGTGCTTTGG